TACTAAACAATTGTACAGCGGTACTAAGTTCTCACACCCCACTGAAATGCAGGTATCTGTGAGGTGACAACACTAATGATTATTTTATTACAAAAATACTTTATCAGCCGCCTGAACACACAAGGTGCTAGTAGCTCAGAATGCCTGCTGAAGCCAGCACCTTGCAGGAACAGATCCTCTGTTAATTCTGAACAATATGGTAATCATATATAAAAAAAATTACAGATTAGACATTTGATTTTTGGGAGTAGCAAACCACTACCCCATCCACTGGTGGAACACCCAACATACTTTATTACATAATTAGTCTGACTTCGAGACTGCTGCGGATCAGAACAAGACACCTATTCCCCAGGCATCTCTGTCACAATGCTTCAGGCAAGATTACATTTAACCACAGTTAAAGGAAAAATGCAACTCATCTCCCCTTCCCATACTCAGAGGCTGCCCCTTCTCTCAGGATGGAGCCCACGGTCCTAGAAGCACGACTCCTGTTTCCCCGTCAAGAAACTGACTATACAGGCACCCGAACCTCAGGACTAGCATCAAAGAATCACTAAACACCCAACATAGGACATAGTTCCATTCTGTTGCTTTTTCTTCATTGATTTGGATTCTTCCAAAGAGCACTGCAAATTCTGAGCAAGAGAGGCTTTTATGGATCCTAAGACACACAGCTGCATTACTGCAGAACTCCCCCACAGCTGGCCCTTCAGAGATCCTCCACTGGATCTAACAACTTCTATGCTTTGTTTCTAAGACACTGCATAATACGGAGACGAAAGGGTGGTTACTTGCATGGTTTGGGTAGAACCAGAAGAGACCAATGTTAGAAAAAACAGGAGACCCAGGAGCAGATGGGGTAAACCACTTTATTGCCCTTGCACGTTTACCTCAGACATTCAACACAACGTTGGAGTGGGGCGACAGCACCATCTGGCAGGAGCTCTTGCAGGAGATGTTCTTGTTCTGCCAGTTGCAGATACAGATGGGCTGCCATTCCTCCCAGTCTATGACAGCCAGCCCTTCCTTGGCCTCCAAGCAGATGCACTTGCCAATGCTCTCACAGAGCCAGCCCGGGTGCTCGCTGATGCTGCTTTTCTGGGGGACGCCGGCATTCACGGTCACTTGCTGCTCGTCGTAGTGGCCCAGGCGTTTCTTGCACAAAATAGTGGGGTTATGGTCCATGAAGCCCTTGTTGGGCGAGGCCTGCAGATCAAAGAAGATGAAGTCCAGCTTCACCTTGAAGCAGGGCCTATAGTCTGGGTGGGCCCGTTCCAGGCCATGATGAAGTGCTTCTGGATGAAGAGGGGGGCAAAGGTTGGCTTCTCCGCCTGCCCACAGGCACCAGCCACAGCAAACAGCAAGAGCCATGGTGCTGCCAGCATGGAGCCTCCCCACATTACTCTCACTGGGTCCTGGGATGGCTTCAGGTAATAGCCTGGGCAGGCTCAGCACCCCATCCCTGGCCGTGCCTCTCCCAGAGCCACCAGCCCAATGCCACCCCCCTTCTAGGGCAGCACTCTTGCCGATGCTGGAGATCAGATCTGCCCTGCTCAGCACATCTAGTTTGCGGCCGTAGATGGGCCTGGTGTAGATGAAGATGGGCAGCGAGTAGCCACCATGGCGCTGGTGGGAAATCCGCAGGGCCTCCATGACCAGAGAGCGCATGAACTTGCAGCTGTTCACGGAAGAGGCCAGGACCCCTCGAGGTAGATGAAGGGTAGAGCTCCTTCCAGAGCCAGGCCACTTGGACGTTGTATTGAATGTCAGAGGTAAACGTGCATGGGCAATAAAGCGGTTCCATTTACCCCATCTGCGCCTGGGTCGCCTGTTTCTTCTCTAACATCCTGTTCACAACGCCAGATGTTAGAGAAGAAACAGGCGACCCAGGAGTGGATGGGGTAAACGGAACTGCTTTACTGCCCATGCACGTTTACCTCGGATATTCAACACAGTTTTAGAGTTGCAATAAAGTAGTTCCATTTACCCTATCCACTCCTGGGTTGCCTGTTTCTTCTCTAACATCTGGCATCACAAACAGGATCCCAGGGGAGATGCGTGCCTGATCATCAGGTCTCGATGGATCAATGGGTAAGTCTGACAGGTTCTTACTTACTGCAACAACTGTTAGGGATTTTATTAACAAGTTAGTGGGGAAGTGGGAGGGGGTCCTTATGTGGATTCCTCCCGGGGTCATCAGGATTGGTCTGCCATCCAGGGGAGGGTGGACGCCTCCCTGATGTCCAGGGGTTCCCCGGGCTATGCTGGTGCAGGCTCTGTGCGACGGTCGGTCACCTCTGTAGGAGGAAGTTGCTAATCTTGGAAGCAAAGTAGAAACCATGCAGCAGATTGCTGAGGAGCAGCGTGCTGTTAATTACTAGGGTATGTTGGCAGCCGGGATGTCTGAAAACTGCATGGATGATTTTTAATCGCCTTAAGTCAGAGAGCCTGGCCCTGAAGGGTCAAGCAGACACCTTAAAGTAAACTTCTCACCCCCCTCCTACTACTTTTACCCATTCTATCCTTTTACTTCTGTTACTCCTTTCTGCCCCTCTTTGAAGCAAAATTCCTGTTTCCCTCACCCTCCTCTCTTCAAGGAGAAGTATACAAACATAGGACATTTGAAATTTTTAAGAAAGGGATCAGGAGGTGTGGGGGCAAGTTAAAAAGACCACTCTCCATGCTAAACTGGTAAAGTAAACCTGTGCCCATGGAAAGGGACCATTCAGCAAGAGAGAAAAGGACAGGGACGAGCCAACTCAGCACAGGGACTTCAGGCAAAGGAGGGTGCGGGTGCAGACCTCCCGGAGAAGGCTGGAGAGTGGCATTGCCACTGATACTGGCAAGTGAGCCGAGGGTGGGTGAATGATGGGCCTAAAGGAATATACCTTTTTAGATTCTGCATCAAGCTTGAATTTGGCAACTGGCCCAGCTCCAGAAAGTGGGCGCAGAAAACCATGTGAAGGGGCTACAGGAGGCCAAAGTTGGGGAATTGAGCAACTTGGATTATTTATACCCTTAGAGGGGGAACCTTTTAAGTTTGCTCCCTGGGTTACTGGCCCTCACGTTCAGCTAGACATCATAGGGATCCCCAGTTTACACGTGTATCATTGTTTTATGCAGCTACAGTCTGTTCCTGATGGGCAGGGTTAAGTAGTCCCCATGGGTTTGGTGTGTAGTGAGACCATGAGTCTAAAACTGGGATTCATTCCCTGGGGATGGAAAGATTTATTGGCCTGGGCAATAAAGTGGTTCCATTTACCCCCATCCGCTCCTGGGTCACCTGTTTCTTCTCTAACAACCAAGGCTGCAGATAGAGGACAAGCCATGCTGGTTTAAAGACAAAGAAGAAGCTTGAATGTGAAAAAGGTAGGAGGAAGGCAGTGATGGGATTTAGAAAGGTTGAACACAGTGAAAGCAGCAGGAAGGAAAAAGATTCTCACAGCCATGTTTTGGTCAGGATAGAAGGGCAAAAAGGCAGGAAGACCAGAGATTTCAAAGATTTTTGAATATTCAACTTCAGTTTTCCTTTAGTCACCGTATTCACTATTTCTCCAAGCTGCTGTAATTAACCTGCATGTCTATAATGTGCTGACATTTAACACAACATACTAAATAGATTTAAAATGGGCTTACAGTTCTCAAGGTGTATCATCAATGGGGAATCATCATTGATCAGTTGTGTTTGCCACGCAGGGTCCCACAAGGATCAGCTCTTGGCCCTATGCTATTTAATATTTTTTATCAGTGACGTGAATTAAACAGGTGTGGCTCAACCAATAGGGTATGGAGCAGCTCCCCGCCTGCCCCAGGCAGGGGGGTTGCTCCAGCCCCATGAGGCCCACCGGAACAGCCGCCTGTCAATAGTGGGCCTGGCCAGCCCCCACAATGCCACAGGTTACATGCTGGCTTCCCTTGCCACCCCCATTCCTGGGGAAGTGGCTTCACTGTGGCAACAAAACCTTCTCCCTGGGAGCTGGGTCAGCAAGGGCTGCCGGCCCTGCTCCAAGGGAGGCTTTGCTGCGGGCTCTGCAGTATTAAGCTTATTTAAACGTTATACTGCAGAGCCCACAGTGCGTGTAACCACTATGATTTTTAACAGTTACACGGTTACTTTTTTAACCTCATTTTTACATTCCATTGCAGATAAAAATTGGGGGAGTGGTACAAAACAAAGAGAACAGGTCACTGGTTCAAAGTGATCTGGATTGCCTTGCAAACTGGGTGAAAGCAACCAATACATGCTTTTAACACAGCTAAATGTAAATGCGTGCATCTATGAACAAAGAAGGCAGACCTTTCTAACAGGATGGAGGACACTATCCTGAGACGCAGGACTCTGGAAAAAGATTTTGGCGTCCTGGTGGATAATCAGCTGAACCTGAGCTCCCAGTGCAGCACTGTTGCCAAAAGAGTTCACGCAATCCTGAGATGCCTAACAGTGATATTTGTGTAGAAGCACATAGCTTATTTTACCTCTATATTTGCACTAATGTCACCATTGCAGCATACCCCAAGCTACACACCTTTAACTCAAAGACTGTCACTACTTTCTAGCCGTTTGATCACATTTATTTTTCTCTTGCAGTTTCATGAAAAATTTGATACTAGCCAAGTCCAGCAACCCCTTTACTTCAATAAAAGAAACATTTAAAAATTATTCCAACAATTGTCTCCAGTAAAGATTTAATTTGACCAGATTAATTATGAATATCAGGCCACACTTTGACTTTAAAAAGTGACTGTTAAAGCCAAAGTGACTGTAGTGAGTCAGATTATTGAAGCCACATATTTGGAAAGGCAAAGATAAGCATCCTGACAGACTGAAACTTAATTCAAGATACAAAGCAGAATTAGTATCAGCCATTCCAATTACTCACTGAAAGCTAAATATTCTTGTGAAGAAAGTCAGAAGCCAACAGCATGTTTAAACATTCAACAAAACAAATAAACCTAAACAATTTCCCCTTTTAAAAAGAACAAATCATCTGACCCACCTGTTGCATCATACAATAGTTTTGGTAATCCTGATCTTATTGTATTCATGTGTTGCTATGGAAGTCAGTGCTTTCTCAAAGGACTCTTTATAAAGAGGTAAGACACGTGCAAAGAGGAAGCTCCTTGGTATTTTAACACTCTAGAAATAAATAGAAGTTATATTCAGAGATTTTGGCAAATGGCAACTGGTGCAGGTTCTCCTTCCAAAGCCCCAACTACTAGCAAAAGCCCAACTATTTCTACTCACCACACACAGACACACCTCCACATCACCTCAAGGTTTGCCTTCGTGCACAGCACTGTAGCTGTGTTAGCAAAGATACTATGATGCCAACAGGAGAGCTTCTCCCATTGGTGTAGTTAATCCACCTCCCCAAGAGGCAGTAGCTATGTCCATGGAAGCACTCCAGTCAATACAGCACTGTCTACACAGGGGATTAGCTCATTACTGGGGGAGGGGGAGAGCATGGATTTTTCACACTCGTGGTGGTATAGTTATACCACAATAGGTCTGCAGTGCATACCTGGCCACAGTCTTCCAATAGCTCCAGTTTGAAGCCACCCTCCTCCTGTTTTGCAGAGTTTGAAACACTTTCTGTAACCCAGTAATTTTCAACCTTTTTGCATTTTGAGAGCCCTAAAAAATTCAAATGGAGGTGCAGACCACTTTGGAAATCTTAGAGACAGTCTGTAAATCCCCTGGGATCCATGAACCACAGGTTGACAATCACTAACACCACTTACAAGCTGAAAGGCTAGAGATCGCCAAAGTGAAATAGTCCTGTGCCAGCCTTCCCCATCCTAAAGCAAAGGAGTGTCAGTTTTGCTGAAAATACTTTCCACTTACCAAACAAGTCTATTTAGGAACTGAGCAACTTATTTCATGTCTACCTTTATTAGACCTCCTTTCCTTTCCTAACTGCATGTTCATTATTTCTTTCGCTTGATTGATCAGCTTGCATCTTTCCCTTAATTTTGATATCTGTAATTAACTCTTCTTCTCTCCCCATCCTCCTATTTCCACTCCCAAACCACCCGTGTGGTCTCTTCTTACCCTTTGTGTTTCTCTCTCCGTTCTTCTCACCTGTCTCAATCTATTTATCCCCAATGCCTTCCTCACCCATCTACTGCTTCTTGATGTTCTTCTGCAAAAAAAGTAGGAATTACCCTGGCTCACAGAATCTTGCTCACGTCTAGGGGGGGGGGGGGGGAGGAAGGCTAGGGACATCAATGCAACTGGAGAAAACAGAATTTGCGTGTTAAGTTTTGCAGCACTTTATTCTTTTTGTCCTTTTCTACACCCAAAAATGTCATCGCCCGCCGGCTACCATTTCGTTTTTTAAACACACGTGGTGCAACGGCAGAAAACAAATGGGGTGTGTCTGAAAAGTGCAGGTACTGGGGTGCTTTGTAAAAAAGACGCTGAGAGACGCTGCTCTGGAGCAAGGGTCCCCAACCGACGGGTCGCCCGGTGTCTGCCCAGGCGGCTCTCGGGGGGCTCGGCCCACACCCCC